AGCTAACCAAGAAGAAACCTTATGCTGGATTAATTATGGGAAAGAATTCATAATTCAGTATAATGATCTTATAAAAATGATATATTAGGAAATATTAATAAGGAAAAAAACTTTATATTATAGACTTGAAGATACAGGCAAATACATATAATTTGATACTGATAAAAAATAAATAAATAATAAAACTATACTCAAGGAAAATGAATAATTATAATAAGCTATTACAACTCTATTTGATTGATAAGATAAGATAAGGATTAAAAGATTTTATAGGTAAAGATATCCAATAAATGAGAGCTTTTTTGTCTTTATAAACAAGACAATATAAAAATTTTCAATAAAAATATTACAAAAATCATATACTTTATGTATTATATATATTATAAACAAAATTAAAAATTTCAGAAAAAGTACTTAATCTATTAATTAATCAGATGATAAATCTAAATGGATCAACATTTTATAAATTAATCTGCAATGGATATAGACATATTAATGATCTATTGAATTATTAGAAATATCCGAATATATCAATTATGATTATTCTGATCATACAGCCCTATTATTTAATATATGAAAATTAGCAGTAATACCACCACTTGAAATATTACAAAACAGACCAGACACATATTGCAAATATCTTATAACTGTTAAATTGTATCAGAATTTATTTGGATAGGTGTACTAAATAATAGAAAAATAAATCATAAATCATAATATAATCTGAATCTCTATTTTTAAAGTCATAGTAGTAAAATTCAAATTGATAAATAGTTATTATTATTATTATTATTAATGTGCACCAGCGTAATTGTCTGGCTGGAAGTTATACTTAAAAATAAGTGACAAAAATCGTATCATGTAAATTAAATCCACAAATCAGACATCAACATAGAAGTTTGTACAATATGGATAATAGTTATTTTTTGCTATTTGTATCTACTTTAGGCCTAGTGCTAGTTAAAAATTTGCATAAATTGAGTATGGATTTTTTTCCATTCTTTCATTAGATCATTGAGCCAGGCAGTACTTAAACTGCTCTTTAATATACCACTATATAATAACTCTTTACCGACCAGCCTTTCCCAACCTGTTAAAAATTCACGATATTTTCTAGGGTCTTCTTTACTTTCTATTTCACCACGGTAGAAACGTATATCTCTTTCCAAATCCTCACGAAAACAACCCATAGCCCATCTATTTTTCTCAGCCTCAATAATAACCGAAAATTTTTCGGAATCCGTTTGATGGCATATTGGCGTAGTCCTGCTTCTGGTTGATAAAGGCAAGTTTTATTTGGTACCTCCCCCTGAGTTTCCGGTAAGCTTTGTATAGCAATAATAACTTTCTTTTGATCGATACGAAAAGGACAATTAAGAAAATAGTGATCATTTTTACCTAGACAGCTCCAATCGCCCCATATATCTCGATGTGTATGTAACTTTTTACATATCGGCATTTAGCTTCTGAGTCAGTATATTTAAAAACATCCTGGTGCCATGCATTCGAATTAATGTAAGACAAGAAAGGGAACCGGTTATGTACTACTTTATGAATTATATCTTTTTCTTCTGGAAACTTCAAAATTTTAATGATACAATCTCGTGAAAGATGATTGCTGGCATTTTCGCTTTATGGGGATTCAGAAGTTTCAGAGTTTATCCAGGGATCGAGCCCAGTCTCTTCCGTATATGCTCTATATAAGATCAAATGACTCGGTGAATCAATCAATTTAGCATGCCAGTTTAAATATTCAGGGGTTAAGACACGAAGTGTCATTTCTCCGAAATCGGCTTTATCCATTTTATTGTTTTATACGACCACAAATTAAAATTAAGTACAGTATGAGTTGTACAATATAACCGCTTATTATTATGGAATGATGAATATTATTGCTTCGCTTATATACTACGTGCTAATACTCTGTGCATATTCAGCAATTAATAAATAAATATAATATCGCAAATCAATGACCCTTCGGATCTAACTAATTTACAAACGTTTGAAACCAGAAAATTTATATTTGGATGACTTTATTATTTATGCTGTCATCTTGATTTCATGCTTTCTGCATTTAATAAAATAAGATCCAGCTTCGTATCTACCTTTTACACTTTTCTCATCCTCATGATTTAGCTTACATACTGGGCACAATGACCCCTCCATAATAGTCAAATTTTTCAGTAATAAATTGTTTGTATAAATCAGAATTTCCCCACAATATCTTATTACGAAAGTAAGCATGATCATGAATTGGATTGGATGACGCATCTAACTTGATTTCGAGATGACTCTGAATCGGAAACATGTGATTCAGTAGATATACTTACCGGTAAAGATTTAACTTCCTTACTTATTTCATCTTTCAAATTAGTGGTATAAGATGATTGGATAGAGGGAGCGGTTATAGTACTTACTTCTGTTTCTTCATTTACCTCATTTTCTGGTATCTTTTAAGTCAGGAATTTCAGTTCTATGATTTTGGCGACGAGCCGTCGTCGAAATTTCACTTGTGTGATTTTCTATATTGAACTCATTATCAGAAATATTATCGATAATCTTTTGAATTTGTTCGTTGGTCATTTCTGAAATAGAATTTGTACTGTATGCTTTAAGGCACTTATAAGTCCTTACGGCCTTTTGGGTCCTTTTGCATAAAGTTTTACGCGAAATTTCTGGGAGCTGTAATCCCATTTCCTTGGACCTTCTTTCACGGATGATATTAAGGTGTTCCAATATTTTATTATAAATCATACCTTTGGCTTTTTTCTCGCCAATTTTTCAATTACTATTTTTTATAAGATCATTATACTGAATTATGAATTCTTTCCCATAATTAATCCAGCATAAGGTTTCTTCTTGGTTAGCT